AACTAAACAACTACAACAAAACCAAACGTAATACAATCTTGGCTCTCCACATAATCTCCACTATACTTAAAACCGAAGTTGTAGTTGTTATGCCAATTTATCTAACAGAGAGTCGTAATCTACTTTACTGACTCTACTTTTCCAAATATGACTTCTTCATCCTAGGTTTCAGCCCTTCTCTTAAGATATATGCCCAAAGTATGTGAAATAAAGTCTTACCAGCCTTGCTTCTAAGGAGTTTTGGCAATCCATGGTATATTCAATACTCTTCAACACCACCACAATTCAAAGGCATTAATTCTTCTGTCTTCCTTATTCACTGTCAAACTGTCACTTCATATAAACCAACTGAAAATACCAGAATATATCCTTGCTCTTTGAAGCAGTCTCTAAGAGCATATTTGCCCCAGGCAATACTACTTTTTATTTCTTGATTGCTGTTTCTATGTTTACTTAATACTTGGTTAGTCCCATCTTTTCTCTATTTATCATAATGTTTCTTTTCAGTTCACCGCTAAGTACTTTCAGTTCCTTGATGCTGAATTGTAAAACATGCTACATGTAGAGTCTTACTTTCTCAGAAATGTACAACGAGTTTTTAACTTTCTGCAAGCAAGGTGCTCTTTCTGCACAAGGAAGGTTATTTGAGGAGTCTTCCTCATCCTACTGCCATTTTTGTTCACATATTCTTGCTTCTCAGATTATGTGCACAGGTTCTTATTGTTGCTGTGTGCCATCAAGCCTATTACAACTCACCGAGACCCTAGGCACAATGTTCTGAACCCTATTCTATCCTGAGGCAATCTCACAGGTCTCTGACACAACTAACCCCATTACCCCAGTCACTGTGTCAATCCATCTCATCCACAGTGTGCTGTCCCTCCACCTTTCCAAGCATGATGTCCTTCTTGAAGGACTGGTACTTCCTGACAACATGCCCAAAGTATGAGAGGAGGAGCCTCAAAGTCACTGCCTCCAAGAAGCAGTTTGTTTTCACACTCCCCAGGACAGATGTTAGTTATCCTGGCAGCCCATGGCAATTTTCTTACTCTCCATGGTATACTCTTCTCCAGCACCACAACCTAAAGCCATTAATTTTTCTGTTCTCTTTGGTCACTGTCTAGCTCTTATGCATAATAGGTAATTGCAAAGACCATGGCCTGGATTAGGCACTTCTTAAGTCTTTAGACTGATATTCTTGTTCTTCAGCACTCTGCAGAGGTCCTGACAGCAGATTTTGCTAATGCAATTTATCTTTTGATTTCTTAACTACTGGTGCCAAGTATACACACTAAATAATTAAGTTGACACATTATCAATCTTGATTTTAAACAATGCAGCATCTCTTTGTTCTGTTCCAATGACTATTTCACAGTTCATGTATAAGTTACACATGAGTACAACTAAGTGTTTTTGAATTCACATTATCTTAAAGCTATCAGTAATTTGTTATGATCCAGAGAGTTCAATGTGTTTGCATAAAATAAAGCACAAATACACATCTTTCTGATATTATCTGTTCTCATTCAACATCCATCTGAAATCAGCAATAATATTCCTTCTTTAACAGCCTTTTTCTGTATTCAGCATGAATTAATTGTAGTTTCCAGTTAATATGCTCCTCTGGCATTTTATAAATATCTACAGCAAGATTTTACCTGTGTGAGCTTCTAGTAATACTGCTTGATAATTTCTACATTTTATTGGATCTCTACCTTTTCTAAGAATGTGCACAAATATGGACCTCATCCAGCCAGTAAGCCAGGAAGCAGTCTTCCAAATGTCTTGTCATAGATTAAGAAGCATATCCAGCGCTAAATATTCTTAGAGGGTTTTTAATTTTTTTGCAAAAGTATACATTGCAGTTTAGACTTCTTTCTGTACTAAAGGCTCTTCATCATATACAATGTTCTGAAAAGGTGCAGCACTGAACAATTTATTGGTACAATGACTTTGTGTATTACTTCTATATTCTTGTGATGTTTACTACAACACTTAATATTTTGTCAAGTGAAGTCTTCAATATTACAACTCTAATGTTGAATTTCTTCTTTGTTAAAATTTTAAAAAGCCAAGTGCATTCTTCCCCTTTGGTTTTCTACCTCGAGATATTTACACACTTCAAGCTTTTAAGCTGCCCTTAAAAATCTTCCTGTTTGCTGTATTATTTCATTCTTTTCCTTTAGTTTCTCTATGTTCTAGAGCAAGTTTTATATTTTCTTCTGACATTCACATTGGTTTTTTCATTTTTTCCTATCTTTGTAATAAATAACCTTCCCCCACCCCATGTGTGATGTAGTTTATGTCTTCCACAATTCATTAGTCTTTGGTTGTTAGTGCTTAATGTATCAAATCTATTCTAGATAATATCTTTTAAATGAGATAATACAAGATAATACATATCTTGAATTTCATAGATCTGGTTACATTTTCTTCAGCTTCAATCTTAATGTCCCTATGAGAAATGCTCATCTGCTCTACAGGTGTTCTCTAACCGTTGTTTTGACTGACAATGAGCTTCTCTACTACCTCTTTCCAAAACTGTATTTATTCTGAACACGGTATAATCCATCAAACAAGGTCCAAGGATAACTAATAAGTATATAAATGTATTTTTTAAAAAATGAACTTGTGAACAGAAAAATAATTATTACAAGCAAGGAAAATACTGCTGAATATCATTTTTAAAAAAATCAGCTGGAACAATACATTAACAGAAAAATGCCAAAAGTTTAAGTTGAGTTTAAAAAGAGGCTATGGCACCAGGGATATATATGACAGCTGATAATCAAATGGATGCTAGATAAAAGAAAAGAACACTAGAAGACTATCTATTTGTGTTTTATTGACTATGCAAAGATTCAGTTGTGTCAATAATAACAAAATACAGCTAAACTGAAGAAGAATGAGAACTCCGGGAACTTTAATTATGCTTATACAAAATTTATACCTAGACACAGAAGTTGCTGTCTGAAGAGAGTAAGAGAACACTGAATGGTTAAAAATCAAGAAAGATGTGCATGAGGACTGTACCCTCTCACCATATCTATTTAATCTGTTGTTCGTTCCCTTCAAGTCGAGTATGACCCACAGCAACCTAATGAGCAAGACACTAGAACTCTCTCCTACCCTGCTCCATCTTCACATGCACTAGTTCAGTGTGGCAGTCACTGTGTCAATGCTCTTGGTTGAAGGTCTTCCTTAATTTCACCAAGCCTCCGCCTTTCATAGCATAATGTCGCCCTACAAGGAATAGCCACTTTATCATCTTTGTCTCAAAGGAGAACTCCGCCTGCACTTTCTCCAAGACATAATTTGTTCTTTTGGTAGCGCACAAGATATCCAGTACTCTTCTTTAACATCACAGCTCAAAGGCATCAATTCTTCTGTTAACCTTACTCACTGTCCACCTCAAGTGCACAGCAAGTGAGGAGAAAAAACATGGCATGAATTAGACACAAGTTAATCCTCAGATATCATTGCTCAACAATTTAGAGAGATCCCGAACTACAGACTTTCCCAGTGCAACATGTGTCTTGATTTCCTGACTGCTGGTATCAAGGGATTCAAGCGGGATGAAGCTGTTGACTTTATGAATAAAAATTTGGGATTAGGACTGGAGAAAGGCTCTTGGTCAGCCTCTGTTACAGAGATGACACAACTTTGCTTGTTGTAAATGAGGAAAATCGGAAGTGCTTGTTATAAAAGATCAAGGACTGCAGCCTTTCATACAGATTGAATCTCAACATCAAGAAACCAAGATCCAAGCTTTTGGACAAAATGGCAACATTGTGATTAATGGAGAAAAGACAAAAATTGTCAACAATTTCATCTTGCTTATAGTCAATGGCCTTGGTACCAGCAGTCAGGAGATCAGGAGACATACATCTTTTGAAAAATCAGCTGATAGGAATCTCTCCAAAATCCTGATTCAAGCCACAGTCTTTCCAGTCACCAGCTATGGATCTGAGAGTTGAACAACGAATAAGGATGATGAAAGAATTGATGCGTTTGAGTTGTGGTACTGGAGAAGAGTGCTGAATATACCATGGACTGCCAAAAGAACAAATAGATGTTTTGGAGAAAGTGGACATGAAGTGTTCAATGGAGACAAAGATGGTAAAACTTTATCTCACATTTTCAACATGTTATTAGGAGAAGCTATCACTTGGAAAGGGCCATCATACAGGGAAAGTTGAAGAGTCATTGAAGGAGAGCAAGAGCCTAAATAAGACGGATGGCTACAGTGTCTGCAGCAATGGACTTAAATGTGCTGGGGATGATAAGGACAGTGCTGGACAGAAAAAAATTCAAATCTATCACTCTTAGGGTCACTATGAGTCATATTCGACTCATGAAAATTTAAGAGAAACAACAAAAATTCAGAAAATTATTATTGTGAAAACACAGTAGGAAACAGCACATAAATAGTTGAGTACTAATACCAGTTTAAAAGAATAAATTTAGCAAATTTAAAATATATAAGCTATCTCTACATGTCTCAAGTGCAGGAAAAGAAAAAGGGAGGGAAAAGCCTTTTTAAAAACCTATCATTAACTGAAGGTAGCTCTGCATCTTTAGTGGTAAGGAGTCTTCCAAACCAACAACACACAACACATGGATCAAACGCACCAGCTGCTTTTAGAAAGAAAAATGAAAAATTTATTTCCAAGGAATATACTGCATCTAAAAACACTGGAGGGTCAGCTCTAAGTTGGTTTTGACTCAAAGGTACACAACAACCTTTAATTCCTATGTATATCCACCCATCATAGTCTGGTAAGTTTTAGTGTAAAAAAAAAAAAAAAACCAACCAATTTTTACTTAACCTATTTTATATTAAACATAAAAAATAATCAAATTTATGAAAAATGAATAAGACATCAACAATATAAAGAAAACTGCTTATAACGCACTTAGTAAAACTTTTTAATACAAAATATAAAATTTTGCTAAAATTTTGCTTTTTTGTTATTTAAAATTACCAATAACTAACTCACCAGGTGACTCCCCTCCAACATCTGGGGGTTGGACTGAATCCACTGAAGAAACCACGCTGACAGCACTGGATGGTACATTTGTACCTGATGTAGAAGGTGAAACTGCTGATTTTTTTGTTGCAATGACAACACTTCTGTAAAGAAGAAAGTAAAGAGACTCAAAAATTCAGAAGATCATTGTCAAATAGAAACTAAAAAAATTACATTTTCTGTAACCATTTTAATGTATAATTCAGGATTTCCCACAAAATGCAATCTTTTCAATTGTGTTCATATGTATCAGTATTCCAATTTTTTTTAAGCAATGATAAAGGAAATGTAACAATTCTTTTAATTTTTTTAATGTAACAATTCCTTTAAATATTTAAACTTCTTTCAAGACATAATATTTTTATGTAATTTAGGATCATCTTTAACTATATAACTTAAAACAATATCTAAACAAAGATATATAGAAAAAGTGAAATGTTTTGGCACTCAAGTGGAAAAGTAATTAACTTTTTCTTAACCTCGGAATTGAACCAGTAAATTCAATATATTTTATAAAAATTTCAAAGCATTTCTAATTTCGAATCATAAACCTCTAGAAGACAGACTAATACATATATATATAAGTCTGTCTTAATACCAGAAAAAGAGAATGCCAGTACCAAATACACAGAAAAGCAATGTGTACATCTAAAAATTGGAGAAAAAAATTTCAACTAATACAATGAACATCTTATAGTATCAAGTCAAAAGAATTTCTGATATACAAATTTTCAATTAAAATACTTTCAACCAAAATAGTAAGTAAAAGCATATTAAGCATAACTTAAAGATCTTTTAAATTAAAGTTAGTTCTATAAACATGCAAAATCCAAGTTAATGAGGTAAAAGGGGACAGCTGATATATAATGCACTCCCACAGCAGTGCTTACTTTTAATTACCTGGTGTTAACCATAAGCTTAAAGTCTTCAACATTCAATTTATTTAATCACATCTTCTGTTGACAATATTGTAACACCAAAACAGGAAGTATTCCCTTAATAGCTTTAAAATGCTCAGTTTCTAAATAAAGTTAGATACTTGATTCCAATAAATATATTTAAAAGTGAAAATTATGTAATTTTGCTACTTGAAGAATATAATTGTTATTTCAGAAAGATAGAACATAAAGCTAAATAGGTTCTGTTTTACTTCATTGCTTATCATATGAGGGCAAACACTGTTGCCAATTAAATCAAGTTCTCCTATGCTAGGCATGGCTTATTCAATGTACTTGGAGGTAGCTGGTGTCACATCATTATAAGGGTGACTGCCAATGTTAACTATACACTAAAAAATAGAAGCAACAGCCACCTGAGCCCCTAATCCAAAACAGTGTGCTTAAATCACGGCATCTTCTATCAGATGAAGATTATTGACTTTAGAGAGAGTAGATATGACCTCTGTGTGTGTGTGCCTGTGCATGATGGGAGGAGGGTGGATGGGAGTAAAAATGAAGAGGAAAAAAAAATTTGTGTATTTTCTACTCTGAGGAGAAATCTGAATGTCTTTTGTTTAGAAAGTTCCTAGCTACTTATTTTCCACAAACTGAAATATGGGCAAATATAGGAGGTACACAAAGAAAATGAAATATGATAAATTTATAACCACTGTGTTCACAAAAGATTGACCCAATGAATGAATATCTTTTTAAATTTAAAAAGAGGGGGGGAAAATCCAACTTAGGGGAAGGGAGGAAAATATGCAACAACGAATGAATGAAAATCCAAATTAACTGTAAGATTTTGTTAAAATCACAATTTTAAAAAAAGACCCAGTAAGATCTAGTTTACAGAAACAATACGTAAACACTGGGAGAAGCAATATAAAAGAAAATTATTTTAGAAAGTTGATACTACATTTTATGTAATTAAAATTTATGGCACATATATCCAGAAATTTCATTCCCAAATATTTATCCAAGAAAAGAAATGTTCACTAAAAGACCTTCAGCTTAATGCTTGCAGAGGCCTTATTTTAGACAAAAAACCTAGACATAGCATAGATGTCGTTCAAACAAAGAATCAGAAAAAAATGGTATGTATGTTGTAGAGAACATATAATTGCATGGTATTTTTTGGTCTGGTTTAATAATTTAAGGGTCCCTGGTGGCTTAATGGTTAAAGCATTAACCTGCTTACCAGAAAGCTGAGAGTTCAGATCCACTAGCCAATCTATAGGAGAAGGATGTGGCAGAATGCTTCAAAATGTATAACCTCAGAAACAGGTTAGATAGCACTGTGTGAGGAGTCAGAATGGACACAGTGCTGATGGGTTGGGTTTGGTAATTTTCATTTTGATTGGATTGCTTGATCTAGTCACTTAATGTTTTATTGATAAATTGGAATTTACATCGGCCTTTTACTTTGTTTGCTTTGTGTCTGTTTTTCATTCCTCTGTTTTTCCTTTACTGCTTTCTTTTGCATTAAGTGATTTTTTAAATATAACATTTAAATTTCTGTAACGATATTTTCTAAATCAAGCCTGGAAGCAGGAAGCGGCATCCACTTCCAAAATGGCTTGCCTCTGGAAACTCTGTGCACGAACAGTGCTGAGGCTGTTCGTTCATAGGGTCGCTATGAGTCATCTACGACTCGACGGCATTAAACAACAACAACATGTACATAGGAGAGAATACTCTAGGACAATAAAAAGAATCACAGATTAACACAAAAACATAGATGAATCGCAAATATATTATGAAAGAAAGGAGCTATATGGAGGTGGGGGACAGGGGGCACAACCCAAAATCACACACACAAGTTTCCTTTCACACCTTAAAGCAGGCAAAACTAATCGACAATGGAAGGGAAGGGGAGAAATCAGAAAAAAATAACCACATATGAGATTAGGAACAGGTGTTGGCTGGGCACTGGCATTAAGGCACTTGCATAAGTTATTTTAATATATCACTGTATTTTTTGTAAGAGTATAAACAACAGATTCCCATTCAACAATTATGGCAAATTATGTTCAAGGAGTGACTTTATATTGACAATAATTTTAGTTAAATAAACTTGTTTAAATTTATCAAATAGTACAGTTAAAGAGCTACTCTGAACTTTCTGTAAATTTTACCATAAACATGTATGACTCACTTAGTAATGTCACTCTACATGCTAAAATAGTATGTGATCAAATCTGTACCTTTATAATAAAGAGATAATTTTGGAATTTTAGTGATGTGTACTAAGTGTTCACTATGCAATTACTTCAATGTCTCTGTATGTCTAAACATTTTCATCATAAAACACTGGTAAAAGCGATTTACTATCCATAAAAGGCATAATCTTTTTTATTCAAGATGATGTAGTTAATTAAAGAAAATAATTTTATCTCATTTCTAATCATTAAACCTAATGCCATTAATACCCCTTTCAATCATAAAAAAAAAATCCTTATCTTTCAGTTAGCTCAGTAATATTTAATGTGCAAGATAGTTTACTCATCCTCAATAATGTTACATCTGTTTCATGGTATCGGTTCTGACACATGGATATTTACATTTAACCCAGTTCTCTTACAGAGTTTATCTACTCACTAAGTATGATGTATTGTTTCACAACTCCGGTACCTTACTTTAGGATATTTTTAGGCCAAGATTACTTCCTTTACTTGCTTTGCGTTCCAGCAAGCTCCCACACAACTTTCAAAACTTCTCTCACAGTAAATCTCCTCAGACTCTTCAAGTTATAGCTAATAACTATACAGTGTGAAGGCAAATTCTATCATGAAATATAAAATTATTAAGTATAACACTTGACAGTGTTTGTCAAGCAATGGCAATAACCCAAATGCTGTAACATTATTCTCAAGTCAATTCCGAAGTCCATATTATGTCCAATTTAAAATTTAAAAAGTAAAGCTCACAAATAGAACTTGTGAAAATAAATGACGTGCTCTAAGCCAAACTGTTTCTTCATATTCACTTATTTTTTCATCAATTTGTTAAGATCACATCTCTAGAAAGACACAATTGGATCCACATCTCAATTATATCCATATCCAATAAAACTTAGGTACTTAAATTAAACAATAAAATTATTTTCAGGGTGTTCACAGAATTTTTCACTAGAACGACAATCACACAGGCCTTTAACCTGTTGTCAACAAGTAGATTGTAACTCATTATGACTCTATAAGGCAGAGTGGAACAGTCCCATAATGCTTGTAAGATTAGAATCTTTCCAGAAGCAAACTGTCCCAAATTTTTTCCTCATGGAGCAGCTACTGTGCTTCTATCATCAAAATTCAGAATAGCAGTTGAAGATAAGTTATTTGCCTCACCAGGGCTTCACTGACTTTTAAACTTGTCATGTTCTGAATATCTTCAAGTAACAGTGATGAAAACCTCCAACATATAAGACTATCATTTAAGTACGGAGTTCTGATAACCTTGTAGTAAGTAGGTGGTGGGCTGCAAACTGTTCAAATCTATCATCTTCTTGGCAGGAGAAAGATGGGCAATCAATACTCTGTCCTCTGAGATTTCAAGCCTCTGAAAGCCCACTGCAGGGTCAGCTGTGAGTTGGTTCCAACTCAAAAAGTACATACCAAGGACAATACTAATTATTAAAATACATATCCACTGTATTTTATTAATGAAAATATTTTCTTCTTTAGCTTAGTTATGAAATTAGCAAATAAATGTAAGGTGCTACAGTGGTTAAGTGTAGTGTTAAGCTGACCAATGAAGGAGCTGACTGGGTTAAAAGAATGTAATCGAGGCAAAAAGAACACTCTGCCCTGGGATGTCAAAACATTTTGATAATCCCACTGGTGTTTCCTTCTGATAAAGATGTGGTTAGGGAAACAGAATATCAGCAAATAAGAAAAAGAAACAGTAAAAAAATTCTTAGACCTCGGTAACCTATTTTATTGCTATTTCGTAAGAAACTTCTCGATAAAATCTATGAGGATGTACAGGTCGGGATGACACTGAACCATGAGTTCCTCTCCCCTTACTTCTTTACTACAGTCTTGGATTTAGTTCTTTCCATCACTAGGCACTTTAATGATGGTCAGTGAAGTGCAGCAATTAGGTACCTACTTTCTAAATGAAAATTTTCAATGCACTAGCACTCTGCAAGAAGAACACATCTGTATCCCAAAAGATTGTTGACGTTGTGGTTATTTTGTGCCATCAAGCTGACTATGACTGATAGACACTCTATGCACAATAACTCTGAACTACTGTCCTATCAGTATAGGAGGCTATATCACCATCTCCAAAACACTGAGCCCCATCACCCCAGTTACTGTGCAAATTCATCTCATTAGGGCTCTGCCTTTCCTGCTCTGTCCCTCCACACTTCCAACCATGATGTCCTTCTCCAAGGACTGGTCCCTTCTGATAACACACCCAAAGTATGTGAGACAGGCTTAAAAACACTTACCTTCAAGGAGAAATTTAGTTTCACCCTCTCCATGATACACTTATTTTTTTTTTTTGGTGGTCCATGATATATGTTCAATACTCTTCTCAAGTACTACAACTCAAAAGCAATGATTCTTCGGTAATATTTAGTCTTTGTCAACCTTTCTGATGTATAGCAAGTAACTGTAAAGTCAATGGCATATATCAGGCACCCGTTAATCTCTAGATTGACACTGCTGCTCTTTAGCACTCTAGAGAGGTCCCTGACTTAGGATTTTCCTAATGTAATTCATCTTTTGAATTCCTGACCACTGGTACCTAAAATGATGATTCTGGAATGGAGCAAGCCAAAATTGTTAAAAATCTCAATCTCTATCTATCATGGTGCTGCCAAATGGCCCAGTGATAAAAATCTTTGTTTTCTTGATGTTGAGCTTCAATCCATACTCAGGGGGCATAGTACTCTGTCCTATAACTTGCAATCTACTCAACAGCTTTGCTTCATTTTATAACTTGCAAACTACTCGACAGCTTTGCTTCATTTTGGTAAAGCTTGTCATCTTCAAAAATCACACTGTTGTTAGGTGCCATCGAGTTGCTTGCAGCTCATAGTGACCCTATGTACACCAGCCCTAAACTATGCTCTATCCTGTGCCAATCATACTGTCTCTGACAACTTACCCTCATTACTCCAGTCACTGAATCAATCCATCTCATCAAGAGTACATTTCAAAGACTTTAAGTAACACTCTAACTATGGGCCAAAACAACCAACCAAAAATCCAAAGTGATAACGCTCCAATTAAAAAGAAATTCATCAATCTACAACCAGGAGAAGAAAAAAATAGATGAATGAGACCTTCTAAGAATCAAATCCCTATCCATCTTCAAAAAATTCTCCAACAGGGTAAAAAGGGAAGCCACAGACCGGGAAAAAGTATTTGATAATGACATGTCAGATAAGGGACTTATATCTAGACTTTATAAAATATTTGAGAACCACAAGATAAACAATCCAACTGAAAAATAGGCACAGGATATGAACAGACACTTCATCAAAGAAGGCATTCAGATGGCTAACAAGCACATGAAGAAATGTTCAAAATGCCCAACTCTAAAAGAGATGCAAATCAAAACAACTATGAGATACTATCTCACCCCAGTCAGAGTAGCAAAATTTAACAAAACAGCAAGCAACAAATGCTGGCGAGGTTGTAGAGAAACTGGAACCCTTATTCACTGTTGGTGGAAGTGTAAAATGGTAAAGTTGCAAATAGAAATACCATTTGAGCCAGCAATTCCACTACTGGGAATATACCCCAAAGAGACCATTACTGCCACCCAAGCAGTGTTAGCCACAATTCGTTATGCCCATGCAGTCAAATGTTTTTGCATAGTCAAAAAAAAACCAAGTATATATCTTTCTGGTATACTCCACTTTTTTTTTGTATTTCAATGAACATCTACAGAGATTTTGGAATTCCATTCATTCATTGTTGCACTTTTCTCCCTGCCCACCCCACTCCCATCCCCCAGGTACACTCCACTTTTAGCTAAAATCCATCTGACATAGTAATGATATTCTTGTTCCACTGTCTTTTCTAAAACCAATTAGAATTTCTGACAATCTTGTCTTATTACCGTTATTATCAATATGTAAATTGTGTGAAATATAAACTTGTATTTCATAACTCTAGGGGATGATTCTGGTCTTTAAAAAAAGGCAGAGGTAAAAATGGTGGAGGATGATGCAAATAAAACTTCTACTGAATTTAGGTATTTTCTTTGTTCTTTCAATTTTGTTGCTACAGTTATTAACTGCAATCAAGTTCATTTTGACTTACTGTAACCCTGTGTTGTAACCAAACAAAGCATTGCTCGGTCCTGTGCCATTCTCATAGTCAACGTTTTAGGCCTTTAGTTTGAGTCCACTGTTGAAGACACTCTGTCAATGTATCTCACTAACCATCTTCCTCTTTTTGCTATCTCTCTGATGTACAGGAAGTTATGTGGCTAATCTAAATGTTACACAGCTCTGACAGTTTGAATCCACCAGTGGCTCTGCAGAAGAAAGAATATATCACTGGCTCTGTGGAAGAAGACAGGTGATCTCCTCCCATTCCATTTGCAGCCTTGAGAATTCAATGAATGGTCAACTGTCAGTTGGTTCAGATCTGATGGCAGTAAGTCTACTTTACCAAACATAATACTCTTGTACCAGGAACTCATCCCTCTTGATAACACACCCAACACAAATGAAAGAAAGTCATGTCATTCTGCTTGCAAGGCACCTTCTACCTATACTTCTCACATGGAAGAATAAGTTTCTTTTTCTGGAAGTCCAGCATATATTCAGCATTCTTCACCATAATTCCAATTCTTAATTGTCAGTTCTTCTTCAGTATTCTTTTCATTGATCAGTTGTGAGGACTGTTGTTTTCTTTAAGTTGTAGTATAACATAAGGTGAATGTTGTACTCATTGATCTTCCTCAGTAAATGCATCAAGACCTCTTTCAGCAAGAAGAATGTATACTCAGCATATATTGATTTGTTTACCCCCTACTCTTGATGACAAGTTCTTCAGATAATCCAGTTTGCAAATTATTCTGTCAGTGTATAGGTTAAGTAAATATTGTAAAAAGATACAACCTTAATTGCTTACTTTTTCGAATTTTGTACCATTCAATATAGCTCTTGTTTTGCTCAAACAACTTCTTGATCTATCTGGAGGCTCGATATATGTAAAATGAAGTATTCTGGAATTCCAATTCTTTGCAATGTTATCTATAATGTATTATGATCCCATGATTACGTATCTTTTCAGAGTCAATAAAACACTTTTATATTCTCTATTTTCAGCCAAGATCAATTCAATACCAGTAACAATATCTCTCATTCCATAACCTCTTTTAAGGCTGGTTTAGATTTCAGACTATCTTACACACCATAGAGAATTCTGGTAGTGATACAGCATGATATGCATACCCCAGCAGATATAAGAGCTGGGTACTAAGAAGAAATAAACAGAAGACACAGGAAATAAATAATAACTTGATGAGGGTAGAGAATAAGAGCTACCACTGCATCTTCTAACACTGAATAAAAGGAGTAACATAGACTATATGCAATAAATTAAGACATGAAATAAATAAATTGTTGAGAAATGAGATATTTATAAAGATTCATAGTTTCTTTCTCATATGAAATATTTTTGAAAAAGTACCATTTTAAGAAATTAATAAAGTAAATATCAGCAATAGTTAGATAAATTTAGGAGCCACATAATAGGGTGGAAGAAAAACAATATAACTTCTGTTATATTTCATCCAAAATGTACTAATTTGAATATAATATGGAAAAAATATCAGAAAAAATTTTACTTAGGTATTGTGCAAAATAGTTAGGATATAATCTTTTCAGCAGATAAAAATATAAATAGCCAGGATATATTTGCATTTTTACAATAGTATAGAAATTAATTCAAGGCCTTAATTAAATTATTAACTTACTTGAAGAACCAGGCTTGGGTAATATATTTCAAGAGATACACTGAAGTTGAAAGCAAAAGAGAATTTTGGTGCTATCTTTCGGATAAAAGATATATACTAAATACAACATAATTTTAATTACACCTTTTGCTAAGAAAAGGACATTACTGATACAATCAGTTAAGCGTGAAATATACTTAAGGATTCTAAGCAAAAAAATCAATGATAATTTTCTTATCAAAGTTATATGTATATTTACAAAGAAAATATTTAATAAAGAATTCAGAACTAATGGAACACTGTGCAAGAAACTTGCTTTCAAATGGCCCAAGAAAAAGAAAGAACTTTATACTATATTTGCAACTTTTTTCTAACTTAAGAGTTTACTTCAAAAAAAAATACTTTTTAGTAACAACAAAAAGGAATATGTTTAGGAACTAAGTTTTATCAGACTTTCAACAATGAAAATTTTCAGGTAAAGTAGTGAACATATTTTAGTTCACCAGATTCGACACAGTGAGAAAACTACAGTCCACTTTCTCAAACTGTCAGATTCTGTACATGTTCTTAGATTCCATAAACCTTAGGAATAAAAGATTCCAACTTTTTTAAAATAAAAGTCTTGCAAAATTCTGGAACTAAGGAAATAAAGGATAATATTCTGTGAATATAGTATATTTCCAAGTAATACCAAAAGAAAACATAATACTTAATATATAGGGTTGCAAACTTATTAAATCATCCTACTGATATGCCAATCAACAAAAATTTGAAATGGAGCTCTGGCGGTCAAATAGGTAAGGAGCTGAACTGCTAAACCAAAGAGAGGTGGATCAAATCCACCAGCTTCTCCATGAGAGAAAGATGAACACTCTCTTACTGTGTGACATAACTTCAGTAAACTTGACGGACTTAGCAATGAGTTGGTTCCAACTTGATGGGAGTGAAAGGTTTTTTTTCACCTGATGCTAAAACCGTGTTTATTGTTTTCATTGCTGTTGATTGCCATCAAGTAAAGCACGATTCATAGCAACCCTATGAATAAAAGACCTGAAGCCTTTCTATAATTATAAAGTTTATCAGAGTTAAATTCCATTTCTGTTTAATTTTTAATCTTTGTAATTTAGAAAAATAACTTTATATACTAAAAAAAAAAATACAACTATTTACATTACCTGTCAAAAGACCTGAACTGCATAGGTTGTTCAACAGATAGATCACCAAGAGCTCCAAGACAGGCTGGTGGCAGAAGTGCAGGATCCACTGAGACTCCATCTGCTGGTATATTAACCAAGCTTCGAAGAATGTCCTTCACGTTGACATTTTTTGAAACGGAAACTGATGATCCTTCTTTGTTATCCAACTCTCTTCCTCCATCACTTTTGGTTTCCTGAGACTTATTGACTTCTAATGAAAGAGTGGACAGCACTTCACTGACGGCATCAGGTCCTGCACTAACTGCTGGAGGTGCTGTATGAGAAGGTACTGTACGGAGAACTGTGTTCACATTGTTTGCTTCTCCAATAGCTGTTTCTTCTCCAGTGCCTGAGTCTTTCTTTCGTGTAGCTGTTGTGTTTTCTGATTCTTCCACTGATGTCGAAGGCAAAGAACTAAATGTTGCTGGTGTATCCGTATCTAACCCAGAAACAGAAAAAAAAAATAATAATCAAAAGACAAAGGATTAAAAATATTTAGAAGACATTTTAAAAGGTGAATTCAGTGTTACGTAATTCTTTCCTTATCCCATCTATTTTTCAAATTAGGAAATATGCAGGATTATATAACTAGAAAAAAATAAATATCATAAAAATATATTATGTCACTAATTAAGATAAACAGCATAAAGAATGAAAATATAACTAGTATCTTCTAAAGACTCAAATACAATCCACAAACATAATTGAAAGCTGGTATCAGTAATCATTTAAAAATTTATACTAAAATGTCAATATGAATATAAGTGAGTTGATATTCACTATCAAGTTCTTAATTCTTTTTTAAGTGAGAGCAAATCATCAAATATACGACTATGTAATTTGTCTTAATTTAATTCCTCATAACCATAACAACAACCTAGAATATCCTTTTACATGAAGCCTGTTTGAGAATGGAGTATTCTAATGGGGCGCTAACTGGCTACAACACTATTTTTGTTCTGCCACAAATGAAGGCAAATGTGTTTCTAAGCACAGAAAGTGTGTGGCAACATGTTAATCAAAGTTTATAAATAACTTAGATTGCCATTCACTGATTGTTCCACATTTTCCTCGCTGTCCCCCCCTTACTCTCCCAGTACAATTTTTAATGTGGGGGGAAAAAAGTTATTTCATTGTTATACAGTCTGCCCTTCTCTGCACCCCCACCACTTTACTATACAATCCTTATTCTGGACTGTCATGCCCATAATACATAATCATATATTCCTTTTTTATTTTTTAAATTTTTTTCATATATTCCTTTTATACAGTTCTCTCCCTCATCTGTTTCAATGGCGTGTACATTATTTATCCCCTTTTTTCCTCCCAACCTCCATACCAGTCCTCTACAACACTAATTTTTAAAAATCCAATAATCAAGAGAAAGATGTTGACCAGAAAACAGCAATACCTTCAAGTATGCAATAAAAATTACTAACAGAAAAAAAAATAAAACTTGTTGCTATTGTCTTTCCAAAGTCCATACATTGAGGTTTAACAGGAATCACATTTTTCTGACAAAGTTATATTATAAACAAGGAGAAAATTAATTCTTTGCAAATATTGCTTTTCATAACTATGTTTATTAATTAATAAAATGTCATTGAAAACTCTTAAAGGTAATTACATCAACGGGTAGCAAGATAAAGTTGACAGTCAATGGACTAAATCCAAACTCATTAGGATCAAGTACAAGGCTCCTCAGTAATATGAACCTATTATAATACATGAATACACTTCCATCCGTGGATGGAATTTGTGGTATTTGCCATAGCATCTGCAGCACACACAACAAAGCCTAACTGGTAGTGAGTAATAAAAAAATATTTATCAAATGACTATTCTCCAACTCAATCTGTTGCTATTCAATGCCATCCCACTACAAACCAAAAACACTAAATTACTCAAAATTTGCTAACATAATAATTGTTTCAAATTGGAAAATAATCTGCAGAAAATTTAAGCAAGACGCACACCTCACAGCATACACAACAATCAACTCAAGGTGGATCAGGGACCTAGAAGTAAAACAAAAGACTGTAAAATTCACCAGGCAAAATCTACAAAGAACTCTAGAAGCCCTAATCCAAAGCATGAACAGTCTTTCAAGCATAATTTAAAATCTATAACCAGGAGAGAACAAAATAGATGAATGAGACCTTCTAAGAATCAAATCCCTATTATTTGTTGGAGTCCTTTGTGACTCATAGTGACCCTATGTACAACAACCCTAAACCCTGCTCTGTCCTGTGCCAATCGCATTGCCTCTGACACAAACATCCCGATTACCCGAGTCACTCAATCAATCCACCTCATAGAGGGTCTTCCCCTCCTGCACTGTCCCTCC